TAATTTTCTGAAGCACAGCTGAGGCTAGAACATTTAGGTAATACCCGAGTCCTTGAACCTTATGGATGTGAAAACGGGAGGTAGACCCTGAGATGAGCACTTCTAATGGTATTTGCAAAGAATGGAGCAGTCACCAGCCGCAGAGCATCCACCTGCTGGTGTCTGCCTGCCCCACTCCGCCCAGCGTCAGTCACAGCCCACCCTGTGCTCTTTGGGAAAAGGGCTTGGAGGGTGCATCCCTGGTGGTCAGAGTGATGAAGCAGGGTTACTGGGGAACTCTCCAGAAAGGATGTGAGTCTCAAGCCTGCAAGGATGTTCACCACTCCTCCCGGAGGAGGAATTCTCCCTGCATTGCCATTTTTAGAGGATCTGAATTTGATTTTGTTAAGGAGCTAGACAAATTCCTCACGCAGGGCGTTGGTGCCTCCCTGCATGTGTGGGTTGGCATTTCATCAGTAACACTTATCAGGAAAACCGCTGTGTGCCTGACACCGAGAGTTTCTGCAGAGGGGTCCTTTGCTCCTTGAGACGCTGAGGAGAGTAGAGAGGGTGCCTTGTTGAGCAGATGGAATGACTTTCAATTCTGTGAGTTTATATAAAAGAATTCCTGTGGCTGATAAGAACTTTTTAAGGGTGGGTAAAGTCATGCCAGAATATTTGGTGTTATTGACCGCAAATTAGTCACATTAAAACATAGGGGAAAAAAAATAGGGAGAGAAAGAGGACCTGTGAGAAGGGGGCATTTGTGAGAAATTTTCTCTGAATCCCAAGCCATGATCATAAATTCCTACTGTCCCTGAAGCAGCATGCTTTGAAAGCAGGGCTGGAGGAGATGACCCCAAAGTTAATTAGTGTCACACTGAGATTTTATGACATGCACTATTTCCTTCCATAGATTCTACCCCCTAGCAAAGGCACGACCTCAGCATGCAATGTCGGGTCATCCCAGTGCTTTCGTTTTTTCAGACATTCACTCCAGGCAGGGACTGTTTCTCGAGATCTGGGCATATGTGACTTATATAAAGACAGTAGTTCTGTGATCCACTTTTGTCAGTGCTGATGTCTTTGTACTTTGCAAGATACTCTGTCCATCTTCCAGGAGAATTATGAGAGCTGCCTTTTTTTTTTTTTTTTAGTTGGAGATTTTATTTTATTTTATTATTATTTTTTATTAAATGATAGCTGTATACATTAATGCAAACATGGGGTACAGTGTAGTGTTTTCATATACAATTTGAAATATTTTCATCAAACTGGTTAACATAGACTTTGTGTCATTTACTTGGTTATTGTGTTAAAACATTTATACTCTAGTTCTAGAAAAGTTCACTTGTACCCTTGTTAGACAGACCATATAGGTGATCTTTCCAGTCACCCTCCCACCACCCAGCTGCCCTTCTCCCTTCCCCTTCCCCAGCCCCTCCCCATAGTCTTAGACTAGAATTAAGTTGTAGCTTTCATTTGAGAGCTATAAATTAGTTTCATAAAAGGGCTGTGTACAGAGAGCTGTCTTTAAACTTAATCATGAACTTCTTTCTCCTTTTTACCAGGCTATCTTCGAAGTCATATCCTCTGAACATTCATACTTACTCAGCTTGGAGATCTTGATACGAATGTTTAAAAATTGTAAAGAACTGAGTGATACCATGACTAAAACCGAGAGGCACCACCTCTTCTCCAATATTACGGACGTCTGTGAGGCGAGCAAAAAGTGAGTGCGCTCAGTCTCCGCCCCACTGGGAGGTGGCATGCTAATAAATCCCTTGTTATCCCTGAAGAAGGGGGTTTAGGGAAGTCTCTCCGTTCATTCAGTGGGCTTTTGTCTTCAATTCTTGAAATGCATTTCAAGCTAGCTTTCAAGTTTGGTGTCTAGACAGATGCTCTGTGTGTAATGCCTCATCTCCGCAGATAGCTCTAGGGTCTCTTTACTCCTTGTCCCCCCCACTCTGCTCACTCTTCCCTTCTGAGTCCGCGAAGGGGAGAATCTTGGCTTGGTCTGTGATAGTTGTGCAGTTTGGTGAACAAAGATTAGGCCTCAGGCTTAGAGCCTTCGTAGACAGTATCTGGCTAGAACTGAATATTTTATTTTCATTCTATTTAAGGATTTTTTGCTTTACTTTTTGTCACAAAAGGTAGGTAAAATCATATGATAAATTTTCACACTCGAGACTTATATTTAATAATGGCTAACATTTTTTCGTATTTGCTTAATTCTTGTGGCTTAAATATTCTCAAGTATATAGATACTCGTACAATGTTTTACTCATAAATACTTCAGGATGTGGACATTTTAGATGACCAGTCATACTCACTATTGCTTATTTTATGATTTTATTCTATTTAATTTTTGTGTATTTAATAGATTCATGTTTTAAAATTCCAAGGATATAAAAGGGTCCATAGTAAAAACGTTAGTTATATACCGTTCCCTGGACCCTGAAAGACAAGACTCAACATTTGCTTTCTTTTAGATCTCTTTAGAAATAGCTTATGATTATATTAGAAAATATATTTGTATTTTTTTTCTTTTGCAGTTTTTGGCAGGGGCCGGGTTTGAACCCACCACCTTCGGTATATGGGGCCAGTGCCCTCCTCCCTTGAGCCACAGGCACTGCCCTATTTGTATTTTTTCTTGTTATTTAAATGGTAGCGTACTTTAAACACTGCTCTTCCTCTTACCTCTGTGGCCTCTATCCTGAAGATCATTACGTGATCATACATTAAAAGTTTCCTCCTGGCCTTTTCCTTGTCATGACAGGGGACCTGTTGGCTGTCTGTGGTAAACACATCTTGCTCTGTAACTTGTATCTAGCTCTTGTTCTGTAACTCTCTCTCTCGTCCTCAATAGACTTTGTTTCATGCGAAAGAATAAAAAAAACTTCCTCATTCATTTTTATGTTTTTTTTTTTTCCCTTGGAATTATTTGTTGACGAGGTCTCAGGTCATTTGATCTGTGGTATTTCTCGGGAGGCTCATGACATGTGAGAGGTGATCAATACCAGATCCATTAATTCTTTAAGGATTGCAAAATGGTGTTACTCTAATTCATCATTCTTTATTAACTTGTTAGCTGGAATATTTTTATGAAGGGACATGCACATTTGTCTATGTGCCCAGTGGCAAATTTCATGTTATTTTACTTTCTGGTACTCAAATTGTCCCATCTTTGATCTTAATAATTTTTGATCATTTTCTTGCTCTATGATGCTTTAAGATGTTTAAAGGATCATATTTTATGGTTCTTGTTGCAATCAGCCATTTCCCTGAAGGCCACTGGTGTCTTTTGATATGAAGTGGTGTTTTAAGACCTCAGTGTGGGGACTGGGGGTGCTCAGGACTTAGTGGATTTAGGCTGTTTCAATAGGTAAACAGAAAAAAAAAATCCAGGCTCATCTCTATAAAACAAGGTATATTTATTTATTTTTAATTTCAGATTAATGTAAAGGTATGAACAATCAGGTCACAACAGGGTATATTTAAAGAAACCTAGAGGTACTTCAGACTTTTCAAAATATATATATTAAATATGTGCAGGATTTTTGGTATATCAATTATCTCAAGAAATCATAAAAAGATTTAAAAAGGAAGCCTAGTTTATATGTCTGTCCCTCTTCCTTGTTACCTCCTTGTATAAGCTAAAAAAAAATTGTTGGTCTTTGTTTTTTAATATAAACATATGCATATGTATATTTGTATTGTCCTCACTTAGATATGTGAAAGCATTTTTTTTTCATCATGTATTGTTTTAATTGTCTCGTCAAGAGAAGGACACGTTGTTTATCAGAAATGACAAATACTTCCTCGGCTTGGAGTCCTAAGACACATTGGCCACGAGGGCTATTAAATGAAAGCAGTCAGCAAAGTAATGACCAATGTCCAGTTTTACAAAAAAGATGAAGGCGTGCCCACATCATTCTTTCTTGAATCACAGGCCTATAATAAAATGCCAGGATGTAATGGAAAAGAAAGTTATTCGACGTAAATTTGTAAGGGTGGAGAAGATGATGTGACCCAGACATTTAACCTTCTTGTGGTATCAGTACAAAGTTAATACAAGGGACTCCTATGCTGAGTCCCTGTAAAGTATCCATTTTCTTGTAATCAATGAAATGCACACCTGTAGCAGCCCATCTAGCCTATGGCTAAGAGGAGTGAGAGTTATAAGAAACACCTGTAATGGAACACCTTGGTGAAAAGGGCACGGTTCTAACAAGAGATTTGGTTCTAACAAGCATGAGAGAGCTCGCGAGATGAGAGCATTGGTGAATTGGCAGTCTCTACACCTGTGGTGTTGAGAAGCACGAGCTCAGCCTTATTTAGGCTGGAGGAGAAGGCAGTCAAGAGGCGTGCGCGTTCTATCACGGATCCATTTATTCTGACTCTGTCTCCTCTCCTGCCTGCACAACGCCAGCATGGCGTCTCTGCTGAAGATTACCAAGCTCTGCTAAAGACTAAGAGCTATCTAAGAAGACCTTTACTCTCTCTAAGATACTCTGTCTCTCTCTCTCCAGCTAAAGTAGATAGCCCTCAAGCACCTACGAGAAACTGTTCCTGAGCAAGGTAGCTTAGTGGTCCGTGTCCAGAACCCACCTAAGCTGGACCCGAGACCTGGCCAGTCCTGGGCCCTGACACACACCAAAACTATTCACTATTTATCATGCTTTAGTCACAAGCCCCATTATAAAATTTATCTGTGAATGGATATTTTATAAGAAGTCACTTTTCAAGAGGCTCCAGCTTTAACCTTGTGAAAGCATTTTTCACACATTTTCTTTATTCATGAAATAATATATAATAGAGCTTGCTACATAGTGTTTTTTTTTTTTTTTCTTGAGACAGTTTCACTCAGTTGCCCTGGATAGCATGCCATGGCATCATAGCTCACTGCAACCTCGAAATCTTGGGTGCGAGAGATCCCCTTGCTTCAGATTTGCCAGCAGCTGGGAGTATAGGCGCCCACCACAATGCTCAGCTGCGTTTTTAGAGAGGAGGTCTTGCTGTTGCTCAGACTTGTCTCAAACTCCTGAGTTCAGGCAATCCACCTGCCTCGGCCTTGCAGAGTGCTAGGATTACAGGCATGAGACACCCATGCCTGGCCTCCATGGTGGTGTATAGAGCTATTCCTCACTCCTTTTTTCCAGCTTTGACATAGTTTACCCATCAGCTCCCTGTCTGGGTGAAGGTCCATTTTCAGTCTCACTGTTACAAGGAGTCCTCGTTTGTGCTCATCCCTGCTGCATTTTAGCCGCTGTGTCTTTGGGATAGATACTAGATCAGTGGGTTAGTTTGTATGCAATTTGGTCAGATATCATCAAATCCTCCTTCATAGCAATTGTTCCATTTTGCAATACCACTAAGAGTAGATGAGACCTGCTTCCCCAGAGCCTTTCCAGCAGAGCATGTCAACAAGCCTTTAGATTTTTGTTAGTCTGTTGGGCAGCGTGGATTATCTGAGCATAGTTTTGTGAGTGTTTCTCTTATAAGCTTTTCTGTGTGAATAAGAGCCATCTGGAACATAGTATGTGTCAGTAAATATTAAACTAATCATATTCCTCCATAATGTTGAAAAGAAAATTTAAGGTGGGCACTGATATAACATCAACCAAAGTGGAGGAAGGAAAGAGTTTTCTTATACTTGCTGAATCCCAAGAATAGTTGCTTTGACTAGATCAGCAGTGTAATGTGCATATTTTTAATTAATCACAGAGAAATCTGCTTAATAAGGAGAAAGAAAAAGTATTAGTATTTCTTCCACTCAGAATAGTAGAGGCTATTATAGGCATCTTACCTGAAAAAGTTGATAAAATCATAGAAGCAGAAATAATGATCATAACTTAATTCATCAAGTGCTAAAATATTAGAATTCAAGTTGCTCCCTGAAGCTTGAAGGAAGTATACATTTATGTCTGTATCATTATTTTAGTTATCTTTTATGGAATACTTTCTTATACCAAGCATTGTGCTATAGCCTTTACTACAGAATATGGTATATACAGCAAAATAGCTGCTTAATGACCCTGAGTCCAAGTCACAGGATAAATAACAAAAGTATTCATGTAGTTTATGGTGGTGAGCTTGTCAAACTTACCACTCTTGAGAGGTCAGAAAAACTGAAAGTGGAAAATTCTAAAAGAATTTGGAAATATACTGGAGTGTAGATTTAATTTAATGAGAGCTATATCTAATGGACAATTGTATAACCAATAAAATACCTTAAAGGAATATTTACTAATAGGGACAATTTTTTCATAATATATTCAGATTACAAAACAGTTCTAAGGAGTGGGGTTTTGTATTATGTTAGATTTTAATTATTTGGAAGGGAATTTATCAAAAGCACAAGCAAAGAAAGCAACACAAGGATAGGAAAAATGGGTCATAAGGAACGTGAGCTGAAAATAATAAAACAGGGGGCAGCGTTAGATGAGCTTATAGCTGACAGGTCCATCATTGGCTAGCCTTGAAATAAGTCATTTAATTTAAGTTACAGATTAAAATATTGTTGTTTTGATTTCAAACCATTTTGAAAATTTAATTCACCTATGATTTTAGTAAGAAATTTTGTTTCTATAGCAGCTTATAGGAAGGTGCCATTTTGAGTCTACTCTTTTCTTATTGATTAATTCTCTGTGGATTATAGTTATCAGACTCATGTGAATGATAAAACACAAATATAGTCTAGCAACAGGAAGGGGTGAAGAAAGAGAGAGC